GTCTGAATGGTATTTTATTTTCAAAAAGGTTTTGGATTCTCTCCATTTCATTCGCCTTTAAATTACTGTTGACAGCGCAGTTAACCTTACACCTCCCGCTATAAACTCCTACCGCCTTGTTGCAGTAAAACAAGCTCAGGGCTCCCACTGAATCACTACTATTGCTAGTAGACTTAGACAAACTTTATTGTCATCTTGGAGAGTGTATACAGAGTTTTCAAAGTATTCAAGAGTTAATAAGAAGCTTACAACAGTCAAATGAACATTAGCATTTATAAAGTGCAGCAGTGAAGATAATGTAATGTAGTAGTTAGTAGGCTGTGTTCATGTAGTTTGTTTTTGTGGCGTCTTATTTTAAAGACATGTTTAACATTACCATAGCAACCAGATATTACTACAGCTACTGATTGGTCCATGAAAATATTGAGGTTGAACCAGGGTGGAGCAAAAAAGGTTGGGGGCTACTGCGTTAAGTGACGGATCACTGTTCGGATTTCTACACCTGAATTAAGAGGGACATTTCCAATCAAAAAAAACTAAATCACAGCTGTTCTCGGACACACTGTGAGAAAAAAAGAAAAAAACAAGTAGTGAGAACTCTGAAGATGAGCCTGCAAGATCAAGATGACATCATTAGGCTTTCGCCGCTGTGAGAGAAAGAAAAAAACCTAGTGCTTCTCTTGGAGTATTTAACAAGTTTTACATTGGTTTATATCACACATGTTCACCAAATCTACAGCTGATATTCAAATTGGATATAATTATTTTAGTCATACTTATTCATATCATATTTATTTTATTTGTTTATGCATTTCTGGTTGCTTAAATACGCATGAAGTTCCCTTTAACTTCAATTAAAATTTAAAACTGCACTGGAATTAACAGTCACTATATCGGCTCTTATGAAATAATTATTTTTACAGTTTAATATTAATTGACCCGATAACTTTTATCTAATTTTCTCTGATAAGCAAATTTGTGGTGTCATTTTAAGAAACGTCTCATTTGTATTTAATGAGGGACTTAAGACAACAAATATTACTCTTGAATACAATTACAGATTTTTTTTCTACTACCTGAATTTGTGGAAAGGAACTGTATGAGACTCCAGGGGTCAAAATAAGGTGTGTTTTTGATCCTTACATTATTAAAATCAGTCTCCCTAAACGTAATTATTTTAAGACATGACTAATGAAATCTTTTGGGGGAAAAACATGTTAATATATAATTTCTTCTTTTTAGATTTAACAGTGTAAACATGTAGCTAAAACAGTGAATGACTTTTACCTGCTTTAAAAAAAAGATTAAGAAACAGAATTATTGTTCCAATCCAATCTTTCATCTTGGTAATTTTGAAGATTGTAGCTTAAAGGAAATGAAAACTCAATTTCTAAATTCTTAGAACTTTGAAATATTACAAAAGACAATAAAAACAATATATTTTATTAAAGCAATGTAATGTCATGGTGTAAATTTCCCAATCATTTCTAAGACTGCTGGCCACTCAGATATTCAGTCAGTTGCCCACGCCCCGACTAGGAAAGTGCTGGAGACGCCGTCTGTCAAACGGGAGCTTAGTAATGGAAAGTTAGGTGGAGAGAAATGTGCATTAGAAGCATACGGAGTGGAGGTGACACTTACAGAGGTATACAGCACATGAGTTACAACTGTGCTGTTCCTTTTTTAATCTACCACTATTGAACCAAGACTAAATTAAAAAGAATAATATTGCACCTGGACTTAACAGCACAGAAGGATTTTGAATCACTTTTTGTCTCTTAAGTAGGGCTGGGTACCGAACTTCGGTACTTTTA